AAAGGATCCCTTAAAAGGATCCTTTAGAGACCGCCTGGTAGTAGAAAGCCCGGTGCTTCCAGAAGCCAGCCATGTCTAGGATGCCAAAGTGAGAATTCCTTCGATGCTTTCGAGCTACTCAAGGGCTTCGGACGAAGGGTTGATTTTTTGGGGCTTTAGGGCTTTAGGGTTTAGGCTTTAGGGGGCTTTCGGGCTTTAGGGTTTTGGGCTTTAGGGCTTGGGACGTATTTGGGGTTTTGTCTTTCTTGTTGTCTCGTGGGTTCGGGTTTAGCAGTTCCTGTGCGTACCTGGTTTGCTGCCACAGTTCCGTGCTTCACCCGAAACCCCCAACCCTACACCTTAAAACCCTGAGCAGCCCGAGCCCGAACATCGTAAACCCGCAAATCCCGAACCCTAATTGTGTTTAGGGCATCCTAAACCTGATTCCTATGCACTCTTCGACTGTGGGGGCCTCTTCCTGTGGTCTCAAGGAAGGGTGGGGGAATTTTCCAGAACTGACAACTGTGGGTTTAGGGTTTAGGGTTTTTAGGGTTTAGGATTTAGGGTTTATTAGCAATTAGCAACTGTGCTCCCACGAGAGTGTACGTATTGTTTCGTTTTCATTGTAGCGCTAAGCCCTAAGCCCCAAACCCTAAGCGCAACCTAGAAGTACCTTTTCTGGGTAAAAACTACTTCGCGGCCAGGATCCGATTTGTAGGAAAGAAGGCAACCGACAACGTTACTTGGAGGTTCAGGGGACTTAGTAAGTAGGTTATAAGTAGAGTTATAAGTACCCTAACTGGAGTTACCCCAATTATAATCCTGCTTATAACGGACTTACTACGTCCCCCTTGGCCTCCAAGTAGGAAAGAAGGCAACCAACAGCGTACTGCCACTCAGGCGTAGGTAAGCCCCCATCCCCCTTCAAAATAGAGGCCACCTACTCAGGTACTAAGTATCAACAGCCAAGCATTTCTGCGATCTACGTGTACGAGGGCTCGAACCCATGCAGCTAGGGCAAGCATAGGGTTCAGCGGCAGGCTTCATGAGACTCGGGGCACACGACGAAGCTCTGAACGCGACATGTTGGAGAAACTTCAATTCAAACACGTGCGTTCGATCTCCTGCCCAAACCTTTGCCACGGAGCCCAGTTTAAAACCCTAGACCCCAAACCCCAAACCCTACAGCCCAAACCCTAAACCCGAAACCCTGAGTTGGACCTGGAGCCCCATCGGTAAAGCCAACCCCGAACTCCAAGACCTGGAATTTCACTCGAAACCTCTGCAGCCCTAAACCCCAGAACCCCCTAAGCCCTGAAACCCTTCAAACCTAACATCCCAAAGCCCTTTAGGGTTTAGGGTTTCCAAACCTTTGAACCCCTCAGACCCTCAGCTCAAAAGCCCCAAACCTTGGAAGCCTAACCTCCGAACACCCCTGAGACGATAAACCCTAAACTCCTAAACCCGACAAAACCCTTATATGTGGGTTTCCGAAAATAGGGGACCCTAATATAGTACCCTAAATAGTAGGATCCTTATTATAAGGACCCCAAAACAAGGTACCCCTAATTTTCGGAAAGTCCCAGAGGGGATTTATCGGGACCCCACAACAACGCTAGCCTCTTTCAGGTTCCAGGAGCCCTAAAACCTGAAGAACTCCTACCCGTCCTACCGTAGCTTCTATAAGGAAACCATTGCAAGGAGCCCTAAAATCCCTAAAGACTCTAGGCTTCTCAACCCTAACCCTAAACCCTAAACCCTAAACCCAAAGCCCTAACCCCAAACCCCTAAACCCTAAACCCCTAAACCCTAAACCCTTTTGCATCCAGGACTCTTGCCTAAACCCTAAACCCTAAACCCCTAAACCCTAAACCCTTTTGCATCCAGGGCTCTTGCCTAAACCCTAAACCCTAAA